TAGGTTTTTTGTTCTTGTTTTTGGTATTACTTTTGGTAAAGTTCTTGAAAGAAAACTATGAAATCTAGTTTTCTTCAATGATTATCAAATATAAGAACAAATATAAGAGTAGAAGACAAAATAGATCTTTGGACTTTATGAAAATTAAATACTTGTGTTTATAAAAAAATTATCAAAAGACTAAAAAGCCAACCTACAGACTTAGAAAAAGTCTTTAGGAACCACATATCTGATAAGGGTCTAATATCCAAAATAAACATAAAACTTTTATAACTTAACAACTAAAAAATAACCCAATCAAAAATGTACAGACACTTGAAGTAGCCAGCAAACATATGAAAAAAGGCTTATTGCCATCAGGCATTTAAAAAAAAAAAAAAAACTAACTTGTTGCCTTTGGATAGATTTCAATTCATGATGACTCTATAGCACAGAGTAGAACTGCCCCCTAAGGTTTCCAAGAGTGAAATCTTTATGGAAGCAGACTGCCACATCTTTCTTCCACAGACAGTCTGGTGGTTTCAAACCACCAACCTTTCAGTTAGCAGCTGAGAGCTTAACCACTGAGCTACCAGGGCTTCTTAGCCATTAGGGAGATACAGATCAAAACTACAATGACCTTTTACGAGGATGGGAAAGAGAAGAAGAAAGCCCCTGCCCTGCCTCTCCCAAAACTGAAGCCAAAGCAAAGGTGTAAGGCCAAGAAGACAGTGCTGAAAGGCATCCACGCCCATAAAAACAAGATCTGTATGTCACCACCTTCCAGTGCCCCAAGACACTGAGGCTCCAAAGGCAGCCCAAATATCCTAAGAGTGTCCCCAGGAGAAACAAGCTTGACCACTATGCCATCCCTGACTGAGAAAGTTACTGAGCCTGCAGGCTCAGAACAATGGTTGCAGGAGACTAGCTCAATCACCACAATGTAGTATGCAAAAACACTGTTCTACAGCTTACTTTGGTGAGCAGCGAGTGGATCTTAAAAACTTGAAAGTAGCCATCTAAGATGAAGCTACTGGTCTCTCCTTGTCCAGAGCAAAGAAGAGTGAAGAAAATCAAAGATGCATGGAAACCTTTAGTATGAAGGACTAATGGACCATGAGAACCTCAGCCTATATGACCCTAAGACCAGAAGAACTAGATGGTACCTGGCTACTAATGTCAACCAACTAAAAAAGGGATCACAATTAGAGATCCTGGATAGAATGGGAGAAAAAATGTAGGACAAAATTTAAAAACATAAAAAAGACCAAGATTACTGGTCAGAAAGACTGGTGAAACCCCTAAGACTGTGGCCCCTTAGTCACCCTTTGGGCCTGGAATTGGACTCACTACCATGGGAGCTCTGGTAGTGTAGGGAGCGCTGGTCATGTAGTGCCTAAGGCTCTTGACTGCTAACCAGAAGGCTGGCGGTTCAAACCCACCAGCCACTCCTTGGAAGGAAGGTTGGGCAATCTACTTCCGTAGTGATACTGCCTCGGAAACCCAAGGAAGGGTCACTATGAGTCAGGTCCAACTTGACGGCACATACAACAACAACAACAAACCATGGGATTGTTATGGTGGCGTAGCGCCAAAGGCATTTGACCACTAACCAGAAAGCTGACAGTTCAAACCCACAAGCCAGCCACTCCTTGGAAGGAAGATTGGGCAATCTACTTTCATAGAGATACTGCCTCGGAACCTCAAGGAGGGGTCACTGAATCCACTAGATGGCAGTGAGGTTTTTGTTTTTTGCACCATGGCTTAACTCTCACCCAAACAATAGACAGGTCTACAAGTTGAATAACTACACCAGAGAGATGCAATCCTTAGAATAACCACCCATGGGTGCTCAGAAGGGCAGCAATTGCACAGGGAGAAAGCTAGGGAAACAGGAATGCATTGGCAAGAAGGACACAGGAAAGGATAACCACAGAGAGGAAGTGGGAAGAGAGCTGTTACATTGTGGAGATTGTAATCAGTGTTACAAAACAAAATGTGTATGAACTGTTATATATAAAACAAATCTGCTTTGTAAAATTTCACCCAAATCATAATAAAAAAGTTTTTAAAAAGGTCCCCCTGACCATTAAGTCATCCATGAAGAAGATCGAAGATAACACCACACTGGTGTTCATTATGGACAAAGCCAACAACCACCAGATCAAACAGGCTGTGAAGAAGCTCTGTGACACAATGTGGTCAAAGTCAATACCTTGATTAAGCCTGATGGGGAGAAGGCATATATTCGACTTCTGACTATGATGCTTTTGATGCTGCTAATAAAAGTGGGATCATCTAAACTGAGTCCAGCTGGCTAATTCTAAATATAATTTTTTTTTCAGTACATACACACAAAAAAACCCTACAATGAGATATCACCTCACTCCTACTAGAGTGGCAATGATTAAAAAAAAAAAACAGAAAACAACAGATGTTGGAGAGGATGTGGGGAGATCGGAACTCATTCACTGCTGGTGGGAATGTAAAATAGTATAATCACTGAGGAAAACGGTATGGTGATTCCTCAAAGAATTAGAAATACAGCTTCCTATATGATCCAGCAACCTCACTTCCTGGAATATACTCTAAGGACCTAAAAGTAGGGACATACGTGAACGGACATATGTATGCCAATGTTCATTGCAGCACCACTCACTGCAGTAAAAAGGCAGAAACAACCCAAGTGCCTTTCAGCAGATGAATGGTAAATAAAATGTGGTACATATATATTATGGAATACTACTCAGTCTTAAAGAGAAATGAAGTTCTGATATGCTACAGTATGGATGAACCTTGAAGACATTATACTGAGTGAAATAAGTCAATCACAAAGGACAAATAATGTAATAGTATGATCTCACTTATATGAAATGACAAGAATAGGTAAATATATAAAAACCAGTGGTTACCAGCGGTGGGGAAGGGGAGAGAGGGAGAATCATTCTTTGGGAAGTACTGAATTTTTGTCTATGGGGATGGGTACTGGTATCGACCAAGGGTAATGGTTACACAACTTCACTACTGGAACTGATATCACTAAGTTGTATATTTAGCAAGTAAGTGGTTATATATAATTTTACAAAAAAACAGCAGCCCAACCCCCCCCGAAAATAGCTACAGCTATTGACACTACATAGGTACAAATAAGTACCTTATGTGATTAGTTTTCTTGATTCATGGGTCTGTTTGGTCAATTGGCCTAATACAATTTTTAGAGTTTCTGCTCAATCTTTTAGTTCAGTGAGTAGTGACTAGGGCCTTTAAAGCCTGATAGTGGCCACATAAGATATAGTTGGTCTCTATTTGTCTGGAGGAGGAGATGTGGGTATCAGAGAAGGAAATAGTCTGTAAGTCTACTTGCCTTTATGAACCATTACCTCCTTTCTCATGAACCAAAAAAGAAACTTCACTGCCATCAAGTCGATTCTGACTCATAGTGACCCCCACTGGGTTTCTGAGGTGGTAAATCTTTACAGAAGTATATTGCCCAGTCTTCCTTCTGTGGAGTGACTGGTGGGTTTGAACCTCCAATCTTCTGGTTAGCAGTCAAATGTCTTAGGCACTACACCATCAGAGCTCAGAATAAATGAATGGTGCCTGGCTGCCATTACTGATCATTTTGATCAAGGTCCCAACAGATGATCTTGATCAAAAGGAAGAAAAATGTAGAACAGAACTTTAAATTCTTATTGGAACCCAGACTTAGTAGGTACATGAAGATTGGAGGAACCCTGAATCTATTGCCTGGAAATAACTTTGAAGCTTTGAACTGAAACTATCCCATGAAATCATATTTAAACTAACAATTTGGTTGATTTAATAAATTTAATAAAGAATGTTCCCCTTGAGCATTGAGCTCTTTTAAAGAATTATCTGTAGGAAATCAAATGGACAACAGGAACTAAAACACAGATGAGAACTTTAAGGGGCAGAGATAAGTTAATGGTAGTGAAACAATATGGACAGAGGATAGGGAGGGGGACACAATGCGAAGTATGTAACCAGTGTCAAGGAACGTACATGTAAAAATTGTTGAATGAGTGTATGCTTTGTTATGTATATTTTCACCAAAGGGTTTTCTTTTTTTTTTTTAAGTGTAGGGCACAACTTACTAGCTTACAGATTTTTTTAAATTTTCTTTGGTGGCTTCATTTAAAGGTTTTTTTTACCGGTAAGTGACATCCACTGTATCAACAGTAACTAATCTCAAAATAAAGTACTAGAATCTGTAAAATATCCCCTCCTGAGTTTGAAGTTAGAGCAAAGACTCTAGAAGCATTTATTCAAAGAATATTATTAACCAATCATTTCCTATTTGCTAGGCAGAGAAGTACTAGAAGTATAACAAAATTGTGATCTAATTAATCTTTACCTCACTATGATCCCAAACTCTCTCTGGATTAAGCCTCCTTAAATTTAAAATAGGGGTTTAAAAAAAGATAATCTTTTTGGGCCCTTCCATCGCTGGCATTTCTTGTATTTGAGATGTAGAATCTGCTCTATCAGGGTTGAGTGGAATGGTATTTAAAGCATTTACCAACTACTTCCAACTTCACATCCGAGCTTCGCAAGAATGAAGCAGAAAATGAAGATGCTTGCATATGGGCTTCCTAGATTAAGTATCTGACACAAGGAAAAGTCAGTCAAAAGCCAGCTAGGCAGCGTGGACGAGTCGTCTTCCCCTGAATACTTCCTTAACCACTACGGGTTCAAATAATATGAGAAAAAAAGTGGATTCCTATTACCTTTTCCAAACCCTACCTTTCCTTCGGGGCTGAGCTCCAGTTTTAGAAGCTTGGGTCCTCACACCCGGTTCCCTCAGGAACTCGGAGTCTCAAAGCTCCGATCGCGTTTTCACTGCCCGCTTGTTTCCTCCCAAACCCAAGTCTTCGTTGCCTGATTCTGCCTCTCAGGAACCTAAGTCTTCGCTGCCTTGTTTCTGAATCCTCAGGAGCCTGGGTCTTCACTGTCCCTCTTCTGCTCCTGAAGAGTCCAAGTTCTCTCTGCCCTGTTTTTACCTCTCAAGAGTCAAGTCTCTTCACGCCCCTTTCTGTTCAGACCCTCTGCTCTTAGGAGCGCGGGTCCTCACATCCTGTCCCTCTCAGATCGCTTCCCTCAGGTGCCGGGGAACTCACATCCATCCCGGTTCGCTAACTCCTGTCCGGGTCCCCACAGCCGCGTCTTCTCGGAGCCCCGATCCCCTCAGTCCCGTCCCAAGAGCCTCAAAGCCCCGTCTCCTCCACAACCTGGTTGTTCAAATGCTGACCCATTGTGAGCCCAGGTCCTGACTCCCTCCTCCCGCTCTTCTTTCTCAACTGCCAGGGCCCAAGACTCACAGGCAGCAGCGTCTATCTCCCCATGATATGCGGAGACTGCCCCAGTGAAGCGTTCGTCTCAGCAGCCGGTCCGACTGCGCGGCCCTCCCCGAGTCCTTCCGGCACCGCTCCCCGCCTCCAACCCGGAAACGCGCAGCTCTTCCGGCCAGCGGGAACGCGCCTAGTTTGCGCAGCCGCAGACTTTTCTCCGACATGTGCTTCGAACTTCAGCTCTCCCTCTGCTCCGGCTGCTGCATTTTCTTTAATTTTTTTATTGACTACGAGTGTGCATTTGCTTGGCGCTTTACATTCACGCGGGAGCTCTGGTGGCGTAATGCCTAAGGCATTTGACTGCTAACCAGAAGGCTGGTGGTTCAAACCCACCAGCCACCTTCGGAAGGAAGGTTGGGCAGTCTACTTCCGTAGTGATCTGGCCTCGGAAACCCAAGGAGGGATCGTTATGAGTCGGATCCGACTCGAGGGTAGTGAGTTTGGTTTTTTTGGTTGGTTACATTCATGCGGCTGCAGAGCTTGTCTTTATTGTTCGTGACTCCTCCTGTGGTATATATCTCCAGCATGACTGATAATTGGCGTCCTTGGATGGCTTAGAGGTAGCCATTTTTGGCTGACACCTTTGTCGTGATATGACGATGGGAATGTCACCTAGGACGGCAACAGCCCATGAATCTGAGGACATGGGAAACCGGTTGTGCCTTTGAATTGCGATTAGTAATAATAACAGTGGAGCGCTTACCGTATGCGGGGAATTGTGCCAAACCCTTCAAAATATCATTTAATCGTTTAGAAGAAATCTGTGAGCAAGGTTTTAGCTAATAAAGGCAGAGTTTCTCTACATGCTCTTATAACTTCTCCAAAGTCTGAGCCTGCCCTGTAACCGTTCTGAAAGCTCCGATGCTTTCAGTTATTTCATCTGTCAAATGTTTAATGAGAACTTAGGTATTCCTGACCCCATGCTAAATGCTGGGCATTTAAGCAAAACCTGGTAAAATGGAAAAGAACACACAGAAGACAAATGTACAAAGGGTTGTGACAGCTTAGAGCCGGCAACAGAAACTACCGGCAGGAATCTGGAAGAGCTACCTCCACCGGGACTTGTGCAGCAACCTTCCCCTACCCCCACTTTTAAATTTTCGACCATGTCCCCCAATCCGCAGTCTACACTGCCACTGAATCCAACTTCTCGGATAAAAAGCCTCTTCACCATCAGGCTCCAAGCCATCTTTCTAACCTCTCTCTGCCCCTGCTCTGCTCGTTCTTGGGATCTGCCTACGACTTTGTTCTTGTTGCGTTTCCGAACATCTTTTAAAGACCCGGTTTAAATGTACGTTCATTTATTCAACAAATGTTTATTAAGTTAGTGCTCATTGTGTGCTAAGCCCTGTGCTAGGAGCTGGGTACATACTATGGATGAGACAGTATATTTCCTTAAGGGAGCTTACAATCTAGAGTGGGAAATGGACCATAAACGAATGCACACAAGGGCTGTTGTTATATACCTTCTAGGGGGTTCTTCTTCCTAGAGACCCTGTGTGAAACAGAAACACTGCCCAGTCTTGTGCTATCTTCACAATCGTTGCTGTGTTTGAGCCCGTTGTTGCAGTCACTATGTCAAAACATTTCCTTGAGGTTCTTCCTCTTTTTTCACTGACCCTCTACTAAGCCGTAATACTAAGCCATGATGTTCTTCTCTGGGAACTGGCCCTTCCTAATAACCCGTCTAAAGCACACGAGATACAGTCTCATTCTCCTGGCTTCTAAGGAGCATTCTGGCTATATTTCTTCCAAGACGTATTTTTTTGTTCTTCTGGCAGCATTCAATATTCTTCACCAACACCACAAATCAAATGTATATCTTTTTCTGTGGTCTTCCTTATTCATTGTCCAGCTATTGAAAATACCATGACTTGGGTCAGTTGCACCTTAGTCTTCAAAGTGACATCTTCGCTCTTTAACACTTTAAAGAGCTCTTTTTCAGCAGATTTGCCAGTGTGGTATGTTTGATTTCTTGACTGCTATTCTCCTGGACATTGATTGTGGATCCAAGTAAAATGAAATATTGTTTCAGTATTGTTTCTGTTTATCATATTGCTTTGTGGTCCAGTTTTAAGGATTTTTGTTTTCTTTATGTTAAAGTAGAATCCGTATTGAAGGCTGTAGTCTTTGATCTTCATCACTAAGTGCTTCAAGTCTTCATTTTCAGCAAGCGAGGTTGTGTCATCTGCATATCACAGGTCGTTAATTAGTTTTTTTCCAATCTTGATGTTTCATTTTTCTTCATATAGTCTAACTTCTCAGATTATTTGATCAGCATACAGATTGAATAAGTATGGTGAAAGATGCAACCCTGATACATACCTTTCCTGATTTTAAACCATGCAGTATGCCCTTGTTCTACTCAAATGACTATCTCTTGGTCCTGCACAGGTTTGTAAAAATGGTGTGGTAGAGGCATCTGACCTTCTCTAACTTCACAAGGCTTTAAAGGAGAATCAAGATCAATAGCCAAGGCTGATTCCTATGAGTCAGAGGTCAGACTACGACTTCCTTTCCCAGTTCTGACACCAACCTTCCCTCTCACAGCACTCTCTACTCCTCTGATGGGGTGGTAATTCATTGCAGTGGCCACACGGAACTCACAGACCATGCTCTCAGTGATGGGGTTTATTAGGAAAGTAACAGGTTACAGTTCAGGATCAGGAAAGACTGAGGATACAGTTCCTTGACCAGAACAGCCTTTTTTCAGTTGTGCTCACAGGCAGGTAGGCCTCTTCCTGGCCCTCAGCCCCTCAGGCCTCTTGGGCTAGCCTAGACTCTGCCTTGCTCAGGTGAGTGTTACAAAGCTTTTTAGCTCTGCTAATAACTGTCCAGAGGCACTCCCCTCCCCCAGCAAGCCTCCCACCTGCAGGCACTCAGCTTTCTTGCCAGGAAGCCCACTGTGCCATCTCCTGCCAGTCTCCTGGTTCTGCTGCCTCTGCTTCTGTCATTTCTCTGCCACTGTTTCTCATCATCTCTCTGGTATTACAGCTCTCTCTCCCCTGAGTCTAGGAGGTTCCTAGTACAGAGACCCCAGGTCCAAAGGACATGCTTTCCTCTTGTCTCTTCTTGGCGGTAGTCAGGTCTCCTCTTTTCGCCTGTGGGATAGTTCATTTTATGCCTAGTGGGATTGCAAAACTGACCGATCCCCTCTTTAGGGTTCCATACACTTTATTTGCATTGTCCCGCTCCCACAAAGGGACCATGCACCTTATTTGCATTATTAGCAAGTTGTGCAACACCCTTGATAGGTCACAGCACCTTATTTGCATAGTCCCACCCAATCACTTGGTGGAAATTCTAAGACCATGGTGAGAAAGACTATATAAAAGAGATCCAGAGACCATAAACAATATAGTCACAATTACTAAAGGTGACCCTAAGAAACCAAAGGGCAGGATATCTGCTTATGCCTTCTTTGTGCAGACATGCAGAGAGGAGCCTAAGAAGAAAAACCCTGAGGTCCCTGTCAATTTTGCTGAATTTTCCAAGAAGTGCTCTGAGAGGTGGAATACAATGTCTAGAAAAGAAAAATCCAAATTTGATGAGATGGCAAAAGAGGACAAAAAGTATGCTGTGATCAGAATATGAAGGACTGTGGGCACCCAAACAGCCACTGTCTTGGTTACCAGGGATGGGAGAAAAAGGAAAAATTTCTGACTAGTTAAGAGTCATGCAGTGATTTGGGTGAAGGGAAAGGCAATATAACAAGTGTGTGACCAGCACAATAACTAAAGGAAAAAGGAGGACACAGAAACATGCACAAAATATACAGATTACAGAGGCAAGCACTGTTATACACATACAATACTGCATTACCAGTAACAACAAACACTAGGCTACAGGTAAATGCATAGACAGGTGAGGAGATCAGGTGTGGGTAGGTGAACAGGAAAATGCCCATGACCATAGATAGATTTGGCTGATAATATTCCTACATGTGTATTTGTGCTACAAAAAATATCCATATACACTATAGAAGTAACAGGGGACAAGGGTGGCGTAGATTTTCAGTGACAAGCAAGCACATTAGAATGAGTCACCAGGCCTGAGGGCTTGGGACCATGGTCTTGGGGAACATCAAGCTCAACTGGCACAAGATAGTACATAAAAATCTTGTTCTATATCCTGCTTTGGTGAGTAGTGACTGGGGTCTTAAAAGCTTTCAAGTGGCTATCTAAGATGCAACTGTTACTTTCCCCTCTTCTGGAACAAAGAAGAGTGAAGAAAATTCAAGTCATATGGAAACAGTCCAAGGGTATGATGGACCATGAGAACCTCAGCCTTCATGACCCTGAGACCAGAAGAACTAGATGGTGCCCAGCTACCAATGTCAAATACTTGGAAAGGGATCAAAATTGGAGATCCTGGATAGAGTGAGAAGAAAAATGTGGAACAAAATTAAAAAAACACAAAAATGACCAGAATTACTGGTTGAATATAGACTGATGGAACTCCTGAGATGATGGCCCCAGGTTATCTTTTGGGTCTGGAATTGGACTCAATTCCATGCATTAGCTTTCAGCCAAACAGTAGAAAGGCCTACAAGCAGAACATCTACTACCCCAGGGAGATACACCCACCTACCCTAGGGAGATGTACCCCTTAGATCAGTCAACCACGAGACATCAGAAGGGCAGCATATGCATAGAGGAAAAGCTGGACAGACAAGAATGCATAGATATAGGACATAGGCAAGGGGGTAGCCATAGGGAGGAGATGAGAGGAGAGCTTTTTATTGTTGGGGTTATAATCAGGGCTGTGAAACCAAATGTACATGAACTATTGAGAGTAAAATGAATCTGTTTCATAGATTTGTACCCAAATCACAATACACAAAGAAAAAAAAGTGATCCATCACACCGAAAGTGTTTCCCCATGAGCACAACTAAGTGTTCTGGAATTCCCGTTTTTCCAAGACTATCCATAATTTGTTATGATCCACATCAATGAATGCCTTTGCATAGTCAGTAAAACACAAGTAAACCTCTTTCTGGTATTCTCTACTTTCAGCCAAGATCCATGTGACACCAACAATGATATCCCTCATTCCACATCCTCTTCTGAA